AGAGATCCTAAATCTCTTTTAAGGGATTAAGCCAAAAATGTCTATATGTCTAGTGTCCGCAAAAAAAGGGCAGGAGTTGGATAGCACTTGAAGGAAAACTTCGTTCTCTGAGAAACTCAGTGCTTTAAACAGACCAAAATCTGCAGTGCCAATTAAGCTGCTATATCGTGCCTGGAAACGCTCATTTCTCGCTACAAATTTTCCGAATTTAAATACATTTGTTGAGACTTGCAGGGCAATTCTGGCAACTGTCTTTCAACTCACCATAGTCTTTCAAAAGACAAAAACGTTTCGTAAGACAGTGATCAATTCTGGCAACTACTTACCCTAAAATCTCTTTACTGTATTGCCTTTCGAAAGACTAATTGAAAGATCTGCTAACGAAAAGCTTTTTAAAATTAAAATAAATAAAGAAAATATATACACTTTTTCTTTTAAAAACAAAAAAAAAAACGAAGAATTAAAAGAAAAAATAAATAAAAATATTAAAAAAAAAAATGAAATGAAATATGTTTTTTTGTTATTTATGGCCTTATAACAATTATATTCAACAATTCTATTGAGCTGAGGCCGGTTCTAATGAAAAAATTTTGTGAAAAAACAACAATAACAATTTCTGCCTAGTTGTAAATTGTAGTTTTTACACAACATTCTGTCATTAGAAACGGCCTCAAGCTCAATAAAATTGTTGAATATAATTAAATGAAATAGAAAATATAAATTTTTCTTTTCTAAACAATCAAATTTAAATATTAAAATAAAATTAAATTAGAAAAAGAAAATAGTACCTGAAAATTAAATTAAATTAAAAATATATTTATATTTTTGAAACTAAATTTAAAAATTGAAATAAAATTTAATTGAAAAAAAAAATATTAAAAGATAAAAGAAAATTGTACTTAAAAATTAAATGAAATTTAACAAAAAAAAATTATTTTAAAAACAAAATCTAAAAATAATAAATATTTAAATTAGAAATACAAAAGCATTAAATACGTTTCTTAACAAGTAATTTTTGGGCAAAAAACAAAACCGACTTCAATTCTCATATAAAAATTTAAGATTATCGTTAATTTATTCAGGATCCGATGATCGGATTTACATCAAATTAGTATGGGACCACCTGTGAGGTAACACCTTTCCTTTAAAAAATTAAAATTATTAAAATCGCTTAACGTGGTCTGCATATTTGCATACATATAGACATACATATGCATCTATCTACATAACACAGCAAGATTACGATGGGAATTGTTGAAAAACTCGCATTATAACTTTCTAGTTTTTCATAAAGGCAAAATATGATTTCTTTTCACGGATTGCTATAATTCACTGCACCGTTATAATGTGTATGCAGCTATTTTCCTTTTGCCAACATGCCAACATGTAAATATGCAAATTTTTTAACGTTCGCTTAGCCTCACATCGTGGCAAATTTCATGAAGAAAATGCTTACTCAATTGCGGGGATGAAAATTCTGGTTTTTGATCGGAGATGAGTACATGTTAGGGAATCTTAAGCTCAGTAGATGTATATTATTTTTTTGAGCCATATGAATAAAAACTAATGCCGAATTTCCACTAGGAATTGAAATGACAAAAAATGTATGCCATTTAAAAAAATGCCATGTGGAAATGAACTTAATGACAATTTTTTTAATGTAATGACACGATTATTTTTTAATGCCCGACTTTGTCATTTGTAATTTTTGCCATTTAATGCCTAGTGGAAATCCAGCAGAAGCAATAGATTTTTCTTAAAATTTCAGATTTTTGGCACTATTAGACTGGAGAGTTTACTCCGATTTTGCTTCAAGAAAATACTTTTGGGATAATCATTTCCAAAACTATCTTCAAATTAAAAAAAAAAAAGATTTCACCGACTCTGATCAAGTGGATGTTTTTAACGGCAATAAAATTAACTCGCCGCTTTGGCTAGATAAGAATTGAATATACAAACATTCATGCATTTTTCAGTTGCATGATATGTAGGTCCGTACCCCGCTAGTTCGTTTAACATGCATATGGATGTACATTAGGGTGCTACTTAAAAATATCAACATCTAAATTTTATAAATATGGGACACTGTTTTATTTTGTTCTAAATACATACAAAATAAAGACATCCAAAAAATCTAAACATTTAAACAAATTTTGAAGCGTCGCTACCAGAATTTACAATTTTTTTTTACTTTTTTAAAGCGCAAAAATTCGAAAAAAATTTAACTTGAAATATGATGAATTTGTCATAAGTATGTGTTATTGAAACTTATTCATATAAATTCATAAACTCGATATTACTGGTAAAAGTAAAATTTTTTGTCGAATTTTCGCGATTTACAAAAAATAAATTTTTTTAAGGCCTGGTAGCGACACTTAAATTTTTTTTTCGAAAATTATTAAATTTTCGTGGTAGCTTTTACTTTTTCCATATAATAAAATACTGTTAATATTTTTAAAGAACACCCTAATGTAATATAGATACATATACATCCACTTATACAAATTCGTACACACCCTGCAGGGAAATCATTAACTAGAGCGACACAATTCTGGTTCCGAACTAGAATAACTTCGACAATTTCGAATCACTTAGCGATGAGCGAAATCTGTTCTCGAAATTTTGCAGTGTTTCGATTTTCTAGTCGATTTTTGTCGTTCAACCAAAATCGACCCGTGTAAACGGCAATTCAACCGTTAAATGCTAATGCTAGACCGTCTTTTTTCTTGCTCAAGTCACATAAATTTTTAACTTTAAACTGGCTTGCAGAAATTTTCACTACTGGGTGCTTACGAGCACCCACGTGCGCATGTGCACAATTGAGCTGCCAAGCATAAAATTGAAGATGGCATAATTGCCTTAATACCTTTTCAGCGTTTTTCCGCCTGCAGTGTGCATAAATTATGAGGGTCCATTTCGGCTGGGTGACGATGACGATGACGACGACCGTTGTATGACCCTAACTATTGTAATTTCCATGTAACGTTAGAGAAATATAAATTTTTTGGCTAACTAGCAGCGGCTTGTCTTGCATTGGCATTGAGCAAAGCACTGGCGTGCCATTCGAGAAATCCGAGGTTGGAATTCGTGAGCACCGGTTTTTTTTTGTTTACGAAAGCTACTTAAGTGAAAAATGATTTTAATTTTTTGAATTTTATATGGAAATTGACAGAAAATAAAAAAATCGTCTTCCATTTAAATTGCTGGT